GGACTTTAGAGTCCTATTTTGAATCCTAACGGATTTATTTGAGTTTGCATTTGGATTCTATAAATAACCCAAGCGACGCCGAATTTTCCGTTATCTTGAAGACCCAAGCGTTGGGGAGGGGGCGGAACAACCCCGGGGTAGCTAGGGTTAAATGCGATCCTAGGATGGAGCAAAATCGAAGGGGGACAGGCAGTTGTGATTCAGCTCCCTTGAATTAAGGTTCCCTTGAAGAATTCCCCTATTTGATGAAACTAATTTGATTAACAATATTTAATTTGTATAAGTGAGACGATGAAAATGAAAATGTAAAATGTCTCCTGTTTGATAGAACTGATTAGATTCATAATATTTAGTTTGTATTAGTATCGTTCGATTTAAAGTTTGTATCTTTTGTATATAAATATATTGTAAGAAAAACCGACTCGTCGAATATTTGAGAAACTCGGTGCATTGCTTTATTGATTTTTATTCATATACTATAATATGTATAGCTTGGGAACCCTGCTCATAGTTACTCCCGCTGTTTACCCGCACTTAGACGTTTTTTACCGGGAAATGAAGTTTCCCTATAAAAGTCAATCCACTCAACTTATAATATCAAAACCGTGGTTCTCCCAAGATCCCCAATCAAAATTTGAGGCAAATCGGTCAAGGGGTTCCTGAGTAATGATAGGACAAACAAACAGAGATCACAACTTTATATTTATAGATATGCATTATGTTGTAAAGAACAAATTTAAAACATTAATAAATTCATTGTTTCCTAAAACGTCCTAATTGTGTTTCACGTCAAACTAAAGTAAAATTCCACTTAATATTGAAATCTTGTTTTCAATCATAACTCGTCTTATTGAAGAACAAAAAAGTTTTTAATTTATAAAATGTAATAAAAAGAATTTTACATCTTTTAATTTTTCAAACCTTCGATTATGTGATTCAACAGAATTTATAGTTCTTAATATCTAGGGTATATACCATGGGTTGAAAGGCAAAGATATAGAGATTAGAAAATTTGAGTTTGCACCAAACTCTTAATTCGTATAAACTTGTGTTACCTTATAACGCCTCCAACAATAAAAACGAATCCAAATAAACAGGAACTAAGAGCAATCTTTTCACAACAACTTCTTCCAGGCTTCACAACTGAAATATATTAAAAACATTTATAAAAATATTGAAACAAATTATAAGACTTTTAAAAATACAACTTAGTATTTAGATTTTAACAATATTCAATAATAAACATTTAAAGAAAATATTTCTATTCAAGATTTTATCTATATTAATTTATGCAAAATCTATATTTCTTGAAATTACAAAAAATTACTAAATTTTTGGAAAAATAATTTAGTTTTTCTATAGAATCATAATCCCCTATTTATAGTTTGCTAAAAATGTTAAAGTTTAAATAGTTTAAAAGTAGTGCAGTTGTTAAATAAAAAAGCTTATATTACAAGGTTCACTTCACTAAATCAAAGAAAAAAACAGGTGTTTACAATTAATCAATAAAGGGACTGTACGCGTAATATTTCAACTGACCCTCAGTGCAAAGATGTCATTCAATGCACGATTTACAGTACCAGTAAAATCTTTCTCTGATCAAGTATGAATTTGAAATAGATGTTTGTCATTTTGAAAACTGATTAATTTCAATTGGGTTTCTCTCCAAAATTGACTTGCGCATTTCTACTACAGAAAAAAAACATATAATATAGAAATTATCAATAGGTTTCAAGGGTACCGTTGTGAATTAGGCAATGTAAGTTGCATGGAGGGTTACTTGAAATTACGGTTTTGCAGCCTTTTTAATAATGAGCTATTTGCTAATAATAAAAATAGTAAAGAACTGATCACTCTGCTCATACTCAAATTTTTATATTTTTATGATATTTATATCTTTTACAACCTCAAGTCGTAAAGCCTTGGTTTTTTTATCATTTTATCATACTCGATTCACAACGGTACCCTTGAAACCTTTAGCTGATCAATAATTTGGAAGAATCCACAATTGAAAATAATCATTTTTAACATTTAACAGTTTTAACAGATATTTAATTCATACTTCAAGCAAATCTTTTAGGGTACCGTTGTAAATCGGAACTGTGACTCTATCTATGGAAGGCATAGCTCGGTATTTCATTGCGTTACAAACCCTTTAAGACTAAAATCAATCACAATCTTTTTTTTTTTTAAAATAATCGACTTCTTGAAATCTTAAAACTATTATTGAGAAAAAGATTTTTTAAATGAAAACTTTAAAAGTGAAGATTTTATAAATGAAATAAACCTGTATTTTCTATTTCTATCTCCATTTCTTCTATTTGAGGTGTTATCTACAAAACATATTTTTCAATTTAATATTTTCAAATCTAAAGATTAATACTCTAACCGGCCAAACCCGAATTAAAGTTGAGTTTAGTTAAAAGCTTAAAAGTTAAAAGAGCTGGGAACTCTTGTGTTGGATATGCTTGATTTCGATATCCACATTCCAAAGTGGGCACCTTTAATTTGAGGATTCATTAAAACTACACTTTTCCATATCTTCATCTTAGTTTTTGCTTCCCTGGGCCCTGGATCAAAGCTCCCTTTAATCCCTAACCTAACTAGGTACGATTACCATCCGGGATATCGAAAAGAGATAAAATTAATCTGCAGATTAAGAAAATATCAAGATGAAGCTTTGATCTCGATACTCACAATACAAGAATTCCCAGCACAGTAAGTATGTGTGTATTTTTAACACGTGGGATAGAGCTTACAGAATAATATTTTAACCCTTGCATGGTTATAAATTTGAAAAAAAGTTGAAAACCATCAAATATTGTCAAATTCAATTTAATAGATTTTTGTTAAAACAAAAAAAAAATTCAAAAGTGAAATTAAAATTTGTTTACCCGGTATAAATGGTTTCCATTTTTTCCCTTTCCTTTTCCTCCGACTCTGCCATTATTCTCATAATTCTCTGTTCCATTTTTCATCACTTTTCCATTCTTTTCCGCCTTTCCATTCTCTTCAGTCTGTAGTTCTCCCATTTTAAGCCATTTGTGTAAACTAAAATGAAAATTTCGGGTATAATAAAAAAGATTGTAGAGTCATTGTACATTTCCAGTTATTTCCCGCCTCTTTTTTATCTTGCAATTCTATTTCGCCCAAGTACTAAGGAGAAGTAAATTCTCCATTGAACCCCCCTCCTCGAATACTGAACGAACACTGATGCATCTATTATTGTTTATAAAATCCCCCAAATAGAACTGGTTTCAATATGTACACAAAGTATACAAAACAGCAATTGACTTTCCTTGCCTTACATTCATTGGATGTACGTACGTGTCTACCGTGTACACTGTACTAATAAGTGTCCTCTTAATTGTAGCTTGTTAATTTGTATGTAATGCATGTACACAGTATCAAGGTTACAATGCAAGGAAAGTTAATTGCAGTTGCGTATACTTGCGTACATATTGAAACCAGTTCTCTCTGGGAGGAATTTGTAAACAAGAATAGATGCATCAGTGTTCGTTTAGTATTCGAGGAGGATAAAAGCATTGAATTTTGAAAATTTTGATAATTCACATAATAGTTTCCTAGGACCACAATATTTCATTGATTTTTTTATGTGAAAGATAGATTCCATGTCAGGCTGTGACATCCGTCTTGTGTTTACATTACCGGCCAGAGACAGTACACTGCAGTACAAAAGATGCGTACACTTCTTAATTAACTGTCCTTGCATTATAACCTTGCACAGTGCAATGTACATATAATACAACCAGAAACAAAGACGACTTCAGTTGTTATCAATTAGTATATTTTTGTTAATCTGAAAGTTACTAAGGTGTTGCAAGCAAGGGTTAGCAAACTATACTAAAATTTGTTCACTAATCAGTGTTTATAGTGTTCAGTATTCAGTGTTCAGGTATCAGATGACATTTCAGCACGCAGTATTGTATGCACTGCAAGTAAATCAGTAGAAATTCTATACTTTTCATGCCTCAATAATATTCAAATATATTTTTACAGGGAGCAGAAATTTTATCAGTGAAAATTCAAAATTCAAAATATGATTTTTTTTCTTTACATCTTTACAATTTCCAAGTAAGTATCAAGAAATATTTTTCATGACAATGTTTGAGAGAAATTCAGAGAAGAAATTGAGTTTTTGTCACAATTTCGTGATTTTCTAATCCCTAAATCTTTGTAACCCGATTTCGTAGACCTTGGATATTTCAAAGTATAAATTCTGTTAGAAGTAATATTCTAATTCTTTCTGTCTGTTTTTAGTCATTTCATCATAGCATAGTGCTTTAAAAGAATTGCCTTTAATTACATTTGATGACTTGATGAAAATGGCTTGTATGCTGTCAGGCCGAAGTTTGCCTTACTACTGAACTGTTCCTAATATATAAGCTGTTAATAAAGCAAACACAGATATGAACAATTTTACTTTAGATTTTGAGAAAAAAATTTATCATTTATTGAAACAGATTATTTTAGAACAATTTTACTTTGTATTTTATTAAAATTTCAATGTTTATAAACCTCAAATAAAACCTGTTTTGTCTAAATCGTACAGTACTTCAAAATTTCCGGATTTTTAAAAATTATTTTGGCGGATTTTCAACATTCAACATAAAATTAAGGATTAACACTTTTTTCAAAGCTGGAGGGTTTTAAAGAGAAAAATTGTGGGATAAAAATGTGTCGAATGGATAATTTTATGAGAAGATTAGAACTGCATTTAAAGATGTCATTTTTATTTTATAACAGAGACCGCGGTCTTCTGTAATGTAATTCATAATTTCAGACGACGCTAAAATCATAAAATTTGAAAAAACGACACCAAAAAACTTGGAGAATAACTATTGATAAGATATTTATTATAAGTTTGATTATTTTTTTATATTCTACAAGTGAAAGGCCCGGCGGTTCACATGAAAAAAATTTGAACATTGAGTGTCCACAAAAAATTTCAGCCCAATCGGTCAAGCCGTTTGGCCGGCTATACGCAACATTATATTATTAAAAACCGGTCTTTACCCAAATCTTAGAAAGGCCTATATGATATTTCTTAGCCGTTTAAAGATAACTAAAAAGTCCTTGGCGTCGGATTGTATTGTTATTCTTAAATCTGGGTTAATCTGTTTTTACGAGGCTTAACATTTTTCATGAAGAGACATTACTAGATTTGCTTGATGCACAAACTAATATCTTACAACGAATTTTAACATTTTTTATCAATTATAAGATAATTAAAGAAAACTTTAGACAATACTGTTTTCTACTAATTCGTACTTTTCGTAGAAAGCTTTGAATGTTGTAGACGGGTAGAAACACTGATAGCGTCAAAGGGGTATCACGTGCAATTTGTAAAAAAATTACTTTTTCTTCTAGATTTTACAATATTGGTCAAATATAAATATAGATATAAATATAAATATAAATATAAAAAGTAGTATATAACAATGATGATTTTAAGTACGTCAGGAAGAATTTTTTAATTAAGTGCATCTTAGATATACATTATAGATAGATAGATACATTATAAATATGGAAAAAGATAAGATTTATTTTATCTATTTTTTCCTACTGAAGGGCCTGATTCTATATAGAGATCAGCTTAATTATACAAATATTTCAGAATAATCACATAAACATTACATTTTAATTCATTTTCATTCTTTCAAAACTGCGGTTTGAATCAATTTCCAAATGTCGTAGACGGACTTGTATTAAAAAATAAAGCTTATTTATTTTGGTAATTTTTTATATTCATTTTATGCCATTAAGAAATACAAATTTTTGGAGTGAGAGGAATGGAGCACATCAATCTTTTATTATTTTAACCTTTTTCTGTGTTTTAAAAATTTCATGTGAAAATTGTTCACTTTTCCTTTAAGCCCGCGTGTAACAGTTGTTTATACAATTGTTAATTTTCACGCAGGGTTGCACTTTAAAACTGCATTAAATTGGCTTGGTAAATACGGTATTCAAAAAGAACGAGAATTTAATGACGACCTGAAACTCTGAAACGGAAAACCTTAAATGCAAGAAATAAGATTGAATTGAACCCGTACAGTCTGAAGTCTCATTATATGTGGGTAAAACCCTATAGTAAACATAGCTCATGACAGAAAATATATGGGGGACTTAAATCAAGTTCTCTTTCAATAGCCTGGTTAAGAAATTGCCTGTGTAGCAATTTCGTTTGACTGTGTGGCATTTAGAACTAGGGAGTGAACCCTGGTTGATGGATAGATACGTCTCGAGTAAATTGTTATGGAGTAGGTATTTGCTACACACAGACATATAAAATGTAAGTTTTATATTTTTTTCCAAATCATCAGACATGGTGCGATATTGCAGGCACGGACCCATGCAAAGCAAAATTAACGCAGATTAATGGGAGTGACCGGAAAGACATGATAGTTGAACAGAGAGTGCAGTATTGTAGAGAAATTTTTTCAGAATAAGATTTTTATACGGTGTATTATTGTTCACCCAGCGCGCAAATTCAATGTTTAAAGTCCTCCATTCTGGAGGCTTGATTTAGAAAATTGAATTATTAAATAACGACGACATAAAAAGTTACAAAAATTATATAAAAACATACTATGGCCTTTATAGGAACAAGTTGAGTAATAAAATGTATCTATGTCTATTATTGTAAATAAGCTATTATATATTAAACTAGCTGAAGGGCCCGGCGTTGCCCGTGGAAAAAAATGTTGAGAATTTTTTTCGATTTTTTAGCCTTTAACACCCCAGCCACCCATGAGTGTCCACAAAAAGTTTTAGCCCATTCGGTCCACCCGTTTGCCCGGTTATAGGCAACATATATATACGAATGTCTTGTTTTATTATATTAAATTAAGGATATTTGCTTTTCATTTTTCTGTATGGGCGCTTAAATTTTGATGTTATTCTAAAAAGTGTAATGTAAATAGTGTCGAATTTACATATATTTAGCAAATATTTGTAGTATTTAAGTTAAATCATCTGAGTTTATCTGATAAATTATATTTTTGACCTTGAGTTTGAATATCTAGGTCATCTTGTAGTAAAAGAACAGCGTAGAAGTTATATAAGAAAATTACGCTTCAGTCCCAACCTTCCCGACCTTCGGGAAAGAATGAAAAACATAAAATAAAAATGTTCGAAAACATCTTCTTTCTTTCATTCATAAAATACATGCATGAGAGGGTAACAAAGCAATAAATTAAATAAAAAATCCTTGCTTTGTCACAAACATCATCAGATTAGAAATATAAATTAATGATAAATAGCGCTAGTTAAAGAAGGAAAATAAACATGTATTTATTTAATCCTTTTACAAGAATTAATGAGATAGCTTTGAGATTGTCTGAGAGGTCAACATTATTGTATTAAGGTCAGGTATACTGCGAGGTCAACATTATTGTATTAAGGTCAGGTATACTAAAAGGTCAACATTATTGTATTAATGTTAGGTATACTGAGAGGTCAACATTATTGTATTAAGGTCAGGTATACAGACAGGTCAACATTATTGTATTAAGGTCAGGTATACAGACAGGTCAACATTATTGTATTATTTAGGTCAGGTATACAGACAGGTTAACATTATTGTATTAAGGTCAGGTATACAGACAGGTCAACATTATTGTATTAAGGTCAGGTATACTGAGAGATCAACATTATTGTATTTAGGTCAGGAATACTGAGAGGTCAACATTATTGTATTAATGTCAGGTATACTGAGAGGTCAACATTATTGTATTAAGGTCAGGTATACAGACAGGTCAACATTATTGTATTAAGGTCTGGTATACAGACAGGTCAACATTATTGTATTATTTAGGTCAGGTATACAGACAGGTTAACATTATTGTATTAAGGTCAGGTATACAGACAGGTCAACATTATGTCAGGTATAATGAGAGGTCAACATTATTGTATTAATGCCAGGTATAATGAGAGGTCAACATTATTGTATTAATGTCAGGTATAATGAGAGGTCAACATTATTGCATTAAGGTCAGGTATGCTGACTGGTCAACATTATTGTATTAATGTCCGGTATACTGAGAGGTTAACATTATTATATTAATGTCAGGTATAATGAGAGGTCAACATTATTGTATTAATGTCAGGTATACTGAGAGGTCAACATTATTGTATTAAGGTCAGGTATACAGACTGGTCAACATTATTGTATTAATGTCAGGTATACTGAGAGGTTAACATTATTATATTGATTTCCAGTGTATCAACTTAATTGCATCAATAAGAATTAAAAATACATTTCCATTTTTATTTTATTCAAATGAAACAAAATTTCCAGAAATATTCTGAATATTTTGTAGAAAATCCGAGAACCAATAAAACTTTATAGCATCATGCATGCTATAATATTCAGCTAATTTCACATTATAGCACGATGAGATTATGTACAGTAAAACCCTGAATAACGAATACATCGAAAGAATTCATCAAATGTCGTATTCTTCAAGTTCTCCAAACAAGGAAAAATACAAGCTTTATATGTTCTCCTTTTTCAGTTCTTCAAAAGTTTGGATTTAAACAGACATTTCTTTTATTCTACATATCTATTATCTACATTTGATTTATTTTTATGATCTAAAAATATAATAACAAATTTCATTTATCTGTTGAAAAATCTTTTTGTTTAAAGATCCCGTTTATTAAGAAATATATTCACTTAAAATGACGAAAAATTTTCACTTTATTTCAGTCCGTATCTGCACTGTACTAAAGTATACGGAGAGCTTATACGCTACTACGGAGTAAGTATTGATTAGATTTCCTTCCGTTCTATTCAACATACATAGGATGACTAAGGCGCTATAACGTATCGTAACACATACAACACAGTACACACACATCCACTTGCTGCCCCAAACATATGTTGTTTTAGAGTAAGGATATGTTCTTTCTTTAGGTTTGGTTGGCAACAGACGTACACCACCCAGTATGTATACCATGGATAGAGGTCTATACAGACAATCATATTCAGATAACATGAGGTACTAAGATTGATTTGAAGGACTAATCATCATACAGGGGGCTACATAGAAGGATAAAGAGGTCTGGAGACCTCAAGAGTCAAAACCCTTTTTATAACAATAAAATAATTAATATAAAACTGTTATATAATAAATATAACAAAGTTTGGTCTCACTGTATTCTATATCACAAATTGTCCATTCCTTCTCTATATCTAGTCAAGATAAACTGAATGTAAAAGGAAAGCTTAAATTCTATATGTGTTTGTATGTATGTACATTATATATATATATATATAATATAATATAATATACATGCATGTATTATATTATATATATATAATGTCGAAGAAATACATGCATAATACAGGTGACTGAATGTCTACGGCTGTTTGAGACTGTTTGCGTAAAGCTCCATGCGTAATACCTATTTTTCAACATATTAAAGAGAGTGTTCACGAATTTTTATAGGGGGGTGTGGGACAAACTATATCATTTAATAAAGAGTTTATAATTGGTAATCTCGCACTATTTCTAATTTTATCTGTTTATTTTCTCCTTTAGTTGGAGGGGGTACGTTAACCTAAAAGAAATTTCATGAATGATTGAAATCTTTTTTTGCTTTCAATCATATTTAAGAGCTATTAAAACAGTTGCCTGACTTTCTCCGAAGAGAGCGGACCCTTATACGGTCACAGAATTAAAGTTTGGTGGAGCGTTGTGTTTCCAAAAAAAATCTTTTCTTTTTATTTTCCAAATTAGCCGAATATGATTGAAAGATGTACGAACAAGAAAAAAATGTAGAAAAAGAAATATAGAAATTTCAAAATATTTCCATCTGATATCATATAAATATTTCAAAATATTGTAAAATTTAATTAAAATAGATTATTAAAGTCAAAAAGAGCTATTAAACAGTAAAAATGTTTTGAATTTTTAATGTGTAAGTGGATAAATTTTTTTTCTTCTCATAAAATCAAAACTAGAGAAGCAACGAGATCATAAAGGTTTACAAGTAAACTCGCATGAATTTTACCTTCTCTTTCTGTTTAGTTTGCATTGGGGCCTGGGGGCGGGGGTTGAGTGCTGAAAGTACCACCTATTATATTAATTATATGAATTCTATTTATTTCTTGTTCTATTCGATTATTCGCTCACAATTGACAAGGCAGGGATTTGAATTGTGAAATCTAAACATTTCAAATGAACAAGATATTTTTTTCTCAACATTTTGGTTATTTTAAGTTTTGGGGTTATCTGTAAAAGTTGCTTGCGGATTTCTGCGAAAATTATGAGAATGATTCTTGGGTCTTTCCTAGAGAACGATTTTTGGGCCCCCCCCCCCACTCCCCGCTCCTATCAATTTTATTATTGAGGGTTGGGTTAGGTTAAGACAATTTCTGGGCCGAGCGCTGCAGCTAGGATGGGCTAGGGGGCCGAGCGCTGCGGCTAGCACAGGCTAGGGGGCCGAGGAGGGGGGGGGAGGGGTCCAAAAATATTTCTCTAGGAAATTACCGTATTCTTTTCATGCTAGGCAAATGTGGATATCTTCCAAATTATTGATCAGATTAAGGTTTAAAAAGAACCGTTGTGAATTGGTCACTTGACATTACTACAACGTTCCCTTTAAGTGTGAAAATCCTCAATGTCCCTTTAAGTGTGAAAATCCTACACAAAATCCCAGGTTTCAAAGTTTACATTTATAAAATCCTATAATGCGTGGAAAAGTTTATATTTTAATTAATACTATAGTTGGGGAACCCAGCGTTTTCTGGAAACTAATATTTCAACATAACTTAGAACTATTAATCAAGCCAAGAACATTCCCATGCTTCTACCGAGTTCCTTAGTCAAAATTTGAGGTAAATTGGTTAAGAGGTTCTGAGTTATGATCAGACATACAAACAAACAAACAGATATTACATCTTTATATATCTACTAACTTGTAAAGCCAGCGTACTCATAGTTACTCCCGCCGTTTACCCGCACTTGGTCGTAAATTACATTTTTAGCTATTTTTCCCGATAAAAGTCGACCTACTCAACTTAGAATCTTAAAAAAAACTAAGAACATTCCCGTGGCTCTCCCGAGTTCCCCAATAAAATTTGAGGCAAATCGGTCGAGGGGTTCCTGATTTATAAATAAACAAACAAACATAGATTACTACTCTAGATATTTATTTTTAGTTTAAAGAATTGCACTGATGATATATGGACAACTCTGAAAATTAGTCTTCAAATTTTTAGACAGCCTCCACTTTCAAGTGTCACAACGACTTGGATTTTGGTTTAACCGTACAAACCCACTTAGACTTTTTTGTAACCCTAATTATATAAATCTGTAAAATGCAACACGCCTGATTCGGCTGAAGTTTAAAAGGAAGTAATTGGAAAAATATTTCTTGAAAAAACATTTAAAAAAAAGTCTTGATCTATTTTCAGTTTTCATGTATTTGCTACGCATTTTTCAAGCAACTGGCATATGAATCTTCAGCTTATTCATCCCAAATAGAGTCTAGTATATGCACGGCAACGTAGAATGTGTACACTCTGAGTACAACTGTATCACAAGTGTCAACAGTTTCACGTGTCCGACAAAATTATTAATAATAGTGATAATTTTAGAATAAAGTGCTTATCTTACAGTAAAATAAGCGCAATTTTATGCTTTTTTTTATTTTCTGTGTTTACACTTTTATTTATTCTTGGAAAACGTGTCAACTCTGTTCGTTTACCTTGTTCTATTTGACACTTGTGACGTCGTGCATAATTTGTCCATTTCTCTGTTGCCACCTATTGTACTTGATACTCTATTTGATTCATCCTAATATTGAAAAAATCATAGTTTACCCTTTAAATTATTTCTGTGTCCTATTTTTTGGATTTGGTGTGTTTTAAAATATAATATATTATAAATCTTATCTTGCGTGAACAATTGAACACATGTGTATTGTGACACAGATTTTAGAAACATTTAAATTTGTTAAACATATATGGGCAATTCTAGTTTTACAAAACCGGGAGTATTCCAGCCTATAACACTTATTTAAGAAGAGGTTTATTTTTTCATGAGTTTTTATTCACATCGCTTAAGCGGTGAGTAGGATTGTTAATTCTTTTCCTTCGTTTCTTTGTTTAGAATAATTTGAAAGGAATTGAGTCATTGACACAAACTCTGATTTTCTAATTCCTATATCTCTGCAACCGAATGTCGTAGACCTTAGATATTTCAAAATATGAATTTTGTTGCATTAAATTATCTTGGGTTGAAATATCAAAAGTCTACAACATCAGGTTCCATAGATATAGGGATTACAAAATTTCAGTTTGTGGCAAAGACTCAATTCCGTTGTAAAATTTTAACATCTTTGAAAAAAATTTTAAAAGTCAAAAACCCTGGATAAACTAAAGAAATTGAGCCTTTGTCACAAACTAGGAGTTTCTAATCCCTATATCTCTGTAACCCGATGTCGAAGACTTATGATAATTCAAAGTATTAATTCTCTTTGATTAAATAATCTAAGTATGAAATATCTAAGTTTTACCTAAAAGGTTGCCTAGGATAGAAGGAATTAGAAAATATGAGTTTGTGACAAAGATTGATTTCATCCAATCTTAAAAATGAAAACGTTAATAGTACAAAAATTTATTAGTATATACAGTCATTCATAATGTATAACATAAAACAAGTGTATGCATAGTAAAAGAGTTAATAAATACAGTTGCAGGGTTCATATGTTCCAGATTTAATCAAACTTGGTGATAGCATTCATTACTGTCTGCGCCAGTTCCATTATCTCTCTCTTCCGCCTTTCTCCGCCAGGGGCGGCATCGTCAGTTCTAAAATAGGAAATTATTTTTAAAATAATAAACATCAGATTGATCTTAATGCAAGATTAGCTTGGGAGTCCAGATTTATGGAAACTTAAAATAGAATTTTCCAACCAAGCTAAGAACGTCCCTGAGTTATGATCGGACAAACAAACAGACAGATAGACAAACAGAGATTACTACTTTATATGTATAAATGACAAATAAACAATATTAAAATGTTTTAATGAACCTACCCTGTGAGGTTGTCTATCAGTGCGTTGTTGAAGTTAGAGACAGTGGTGATGATCCTGTTGAGGAATCCGGCCTTCAGGTTGAGAACTCCTCCTAGTAGGGTCAGAACAATCCTAGGAACAAGAAATAATAAAATCATTGGCATGGCACCGCAAGAGAGAGAGAAGGAGAAAGTGAATTTCTGTGACCAGCTACTGTAGTTTTGATTTTACGCAAAAGTTTAATTTTGAAATTAAAAACATTTTCGGTTTCCTCAATAGCTCTTTAATATTACGTGTAATTTACTTTAGTCTATATAAAAATTGGATTATCAGTGAAATAATGGAAAAAAAATGAAATGTTTAAGATTAGGTTTCACCAATACCTGAAAAGAGTGTAAAGTGCGAAAACTCCGAGGCTAAAAAGAGCAACAGGTTGGATCAAATCTCCTTTCCAGGCCATGATACGTCCCAGGGTGGTAGCTCCGACATTTTCCAGACTGAAGAAATCCCGAAACCGGTTGAAGAACTGATCTGAGGTTATATCGGAGAAACGAGCAATATCAACCTGAGGTTTGGCATACTCCGAGTACACCTGCTGAGATGCAGCAGCAGAAACAAGGACGGAAAAGAGAAGAGATCTGAACATTATGAGAGAACCGAAGATAATGTGTGTATGTTGACCTGACCGTAGGTATATATACCCTCGCGGTCAGATCTAGGGTCAGCTTAGGGGGGTAGTGGAGTTAGGGGTCAAAAACTAGGGCGGGAAAATGGATTCGGGTTAAGGGTCAACATAAAAATAACACAAAATCATATTTGAAGAAAATATAGACGAACAGATTGTAAATATTTGAAATTATACGAATACTGATGCTAGATTAGATAATTAGTTAACTTAATAATCTTCGCTGAACCCTGAACAGTGTAGATGTGTATATAAATTACCTTTCTCCTCCCTGATTTTAATTTTTTAAATACTCTTCTTCTATCTTACACTTGTTTTTAACTTTTAAAGATAATCTATTTTAATCAAGGGTTGTGGGCAAAAGCTCAAGCAATAAACGCATACAAAACAAAAAATGAAATATCAGAAATCCTGTTTCCAGTTCGTTATCGAAATCTTTCTATTCAATGTTTTACTCAAGATTGATTAAAAGATGTATACCCAACGTTTTGTGTTGCGCCGTCTTATCATTAAAACTTGACACATGGGTGTACCCTATTAATCATAGTTAACACTTGTTTTACGCGGGCTGAACTTCCTTACTTTTTCCTTAATCTTAACTATTGAGTTTAGAAAGACAATAATACTTATTGTCAGACGCATTTGCGTTGATTTGCTAGGGACTTAAAGAAAATAGAACTCTCAGACACAATTGAGTTGTGTCCTTCTGTCCCTTTTCCGTCAGACATTTAATTTTTTTTTTGAATATTCATCCGTTTGTTTTCTCTTTCGTCTATCCTTTCCTTTCTAGTTTTGCAAACACTGAGTTCTCTTGTTCCGTAAAAAACTCTCTCTTATATTCTCCTACTTTTCTATTTCTTATCTTAAATTTTTTTGACTTAAAAGACTCAAAAAGAGTCAAAATTAATGACTAAAGACTAAAAAACTAGGTTTTTAACTTTTCACACATTATTTCCCTTAAGCATGCTATTGAGAAGCTATTCTGAAAATAGGAACAAAAATTCCAAATTCAGGGGGGTGAATGTCCCCCGCCCCCCCCCCCTGTGTCCGCCCCTAAGAACACACAACTTTCAACCTCCTTGTAAATAATGACTTGTGATTGTATGAAAGGAAAGACAAGGCATTAGAAACTGTTAGGAGTCAGATTCACTTATTAATTCAATAACTAGAATATGTTTAATACTATATACACATAAAAAAAAATAATTTGCAACGAGTGTAGTATGATCCAAAGATTTTTAGATATGGTTTACCATTTAAACTAAAAGGTTCATGTAGTTTTCCTCAATTTCTAATTTAAAAAAAAATAAATGGAATTGAAGCAACGAGTTGAGTGCTCATGTGAAATTTGGATAAAGAAATTAGGTTAAAATTTTGAGAATGTAAGGATGTGGGGGGGGGGGGAAGTTAAAAATGAAAGTAAAGAGAAAAAAATAAATAGGGAAACATTTTTTTAGGGAAACGTGGAACAAAATGGAGATGGAAAAAAGTAAAAAACAAAGTAGGAATTTCCTGTGCTACAAATCTATTAATTGTTAATGCTGGTCGTAATGAGAAAGCAATATAGATTTTTATGAATGGAACTTTTAATTTTGCCTTCATCCCCCCCCCCCCCTCGATTCCCTTCGTTATCACCCTTCCCTCCTTTTCTTTTATACTTTCATCCCCGTTCATAATTTTATTCCACCTTTTTCAAACACAAATTTTTTAATCCATAAAGCTTTGCAACCTTATGGTGTAAACCTGTCATATTTCAAAGTTATATTATTTAATCCAACAGATTTCACACGTGGAAATATTATAGGTCTGCTACGTTTATGTGCAAAGGCGTAGGGATTAGAAATTCAGAGTTTTCTAGTCCGGGCCACATTCTCCCCATTTTTTCGTCAGATCCACATCAAAATCCTCGTCCTTTCAATATTATTTTTTTAAGTGTTTAATCCTTCAAGATAAATCTATTTTTTAAGAATCGGGCCACGTTAGGGCATACATGAAATATTGAATTTTTGTAAATCGAAAAAAATTGTTTCAATTGAATTACAGATTTCGAGTTCAATGCTCTTAAAAAATGTGCACCTTTTTTACGCGCATTTTCGATGTAGAGTGCCGATTCAATATAGAAGTTTAATTTTTGTTAATTATAGTGGAAACCATTGAGTTTTATCGGATGGTTTCATGAGGGAAATGCTAGGCAGATGGTTAGCCAATAAGAAGGCAGAAGTCTTACCTAAATAAAGTTTGACATCATTCTCATGGCTTTAAAGGTTCCAACATAATGTAATCATTGCAATAATTTAGTCTATCCATATTTCAAAAAATTCAAAAAAATTGTTTTACCTTCAAGAATTAGAAACTTTAAAACACAAAATAATCAGTTCCTTTGGCGTTTGATAACAATACATCAATAGTAAATGTCATAATTATACATTATAATTGTTTATAACGAGGTTGGAGAAAATAATTTTTAGATCATACTAAAATTTTTTGGCAATTCTTGTTTAATGTTTATAACAGTTTAAGTCATCCCAGCTTTACCACCAAGGGTCCAAGATACGTACAAAGGTCAAAACTTTTTTGTTAGGAATCCTTGGATTAAGCAGTTTTCGGTATGTTGTGCAGTCCATGGCGGATTAAATTATTTTCTCTTGAATATTCCGCACATTTTAACTCTTTTAAAAATTTCACAGTGAATATAGAAATCATGTATTCTAGATCAGCGCTATTTCCAAGGCGTAGTGTATATATATAAAGTATAAGTAATCTCTGTTGGTTTGTTTATATGTCTGATCACTAATGATTAATGAAATCATGTATTCTAGATCAGCGCTATTTCCAAGGCGTAGTGTATATATAAAGATTTGCTTAGATGTCTGATCATAACTCATGAACCCCTCGACCGAGGTGCCTCGAATTTTGATTGGGAACTCAATAAAACAACAAAAATGTTCTTAACTTGGTTTAAAAGTTTTAAGTTGAGTAGGTCGACTTTTATAGATAAAACTTAGTTTCCAGGGAAAGCTGGGTTCCTGCGCTAGCTAAGAATCAAATTTAAGTGGGGAAGGGGGGAAGAAATTTTACGAAGGGGAATTTTTTGTTGTTGCGAAGTTTGAACTGTAAATTCAGAAAGTTTGGTTTGAAAATTAAGCACATGTATATAAGAGACTGTATATTTACTACCTTCAAGTTAAAGTCTTCTTTTATTTTATGTTCTTATTTTTGAAATAGATTATTTTTTTTTACCCCCCCCCACNGGGCGGGCAAAATTTTAACTTTCAATGCAGAACAATTGGTTTGGATATCAGGCAAATGTAAGACACTTTAAGGCACACTAACTGTCCGGCCAATTATTTTGAAAATGCTACTTTATCTCTTATTATATAAAACTAACACAAAAAAAACAACTTTTATAAAATCAACATTTTAATATTCTAATTAATTTAATGAGCATTGTTGTTTCATGTTATAGATAGTATAAGACATTTTTGAAAAATTTAGTTTAAACTAAATAGTTTTGAAATGTAAAAAGTCCAAATCATAAAGAAATTGAATTTTTGCCACAAATTAAAATTTTTCAATCCTAATATCTTTGCAACCCAATGTTGTAAACCTTAGATATTTAAAACTATTAATTATGTTAGATCAAATAATCTAAGTTTGAAATATCATAGGTTTACATCATCTGGTTGCAAAGAAATAAGGATTATAAAGTTTGAGTTTGTGGCAAAGACTCAATTTCTTTTGGCTTGAATTTAAAAATAAAAAGTCAAATGCACTTTTACGACATCAAAATTCAAGCCTTCTTCAGTTTTAAAATGGGTTTGNAGTCTATGGTGGGGCGCTGGTTCCTTACTCCCCCGCTTGGGCCCCTGCTATTTTACACGAAAGTTTTTACTTCTAAATACTAAAAAAAATATATTTTCTCCAAGCAAATTATTTATTGGCACTTTATACAATATAAAAAAGAAATCTTTGAAAAACTTTTTCTTTGTGAGGTGCACAGTTTAAAAAGTAAACCGTTATAAATTTAAATAAATTTTTAATCTTATTTTGTCAAATATGTGGTACAAACGTTGTGCAGTAGTAGTTTCAGAAGAAAGAGGGTTACGATGTAAGAAACTTTAGTTTCAGTTTTTTTTATTTTAAGATTTGATCTTATTAGAAGTAACATAAGCACTCTGTGACACTAGAACACATGATATTTTACAATCATGATGAGAAAAGGTATTCTATGAGTTGGTTATATTTAAATATAAATTTAAAAGCGTTTCTATTGCGCATACAGATTTCAAATGAAAAATTAGGTAGATTCAATCCACAATAGAATTTAAGAAAGTCTATAAATTAAAGATGATATTTTGTGTATGCCAAAGAAAATCATTTAAACCTCTCATTTTAAACATATTGTAATAAAATAAAATTATTATTCGTTGCGTTTAAAAGGAGTAATAATTACAACTTTCGTCGAAGACTGCATGCGTATAATCATAGAATTATTAGAATATTTATTTCTATTATGAATTTTCCCATTTTTACTGTTGAAACTCAAAGACTGAAATTTTGAAAATGCGGGAAAGGTATTCAGGAAATACGCAAGTAGTTGGAAAATCGGAACTATCGTAATCATGCTGTGGAACCGTGTTCAACTCTCTCGCCTTCCAATTACGAAATATGTGAACACTGCTTCTCTTTCAACCGTTAGGTTTGAGAATGCAAAGCCTTTTAAGTCTATTCCAGGTCCTATATCTTTTCCTGGAATGGGATCAGGGTACTATATGTTTAAGAAGGATTACAGGGATCACCATGAACAGCTTTACATCAAATTGTACAAGAAATACGGCCCCCTTATCAGGTTAAATCTGTTTGGAGTCAACACCTTGGTTATAGCAGATCCTCATGATGCTGCGGAAATGTTCCTGCACGAAGGAGATTATCCAGACATGCCCAGTCTTACCATGATCGTTGGGTTTCAAAGGTGATATGACTTTTTTACTTACTCTAATTATGTTAAAGGGATTGTAATTGTATGACTCAACGATTTAATGATTTAATTTTATGCAGGGCTCTACGAAAAGATTTGTATCCTGATGGAAGGGGACTTCTTGGTTCTAATGGAGAAGAATGGTGGGCGATACGGTCCAAAGTGAATCAGGTATAATATCTAAATAATTTTTTGTTTAGTTTTTGTTGTTGCGAAAAATTGTATGATTCCAGAGAAAATACCCATAAATTCGTGCAACCTAATGTCGTCGACCTTTGAAATCTGAAATATGTCAGATAAAAAGATTAAAGTTTGAAATATAAAAATACCGCCAGCTTGCAAAGATATAGGGATGAGAAACTTTAAGTTTGAGTTTACTTCAAATTAACAGAGAGACATTTATGTAATTCCATTAGTTTCTGGAATGCCTCGAATTCTTAAATATATTTCAAGAATTTCCAAAGTATAAAATGTTTGTAGAAATGAAGAAATCAACCATGTTATTAAAATTAAAAAAAAATTAATAATCTGCACCTAATTTACATTGATTCTTTTTGATCATTTTTATCTATATATAAATTTGGCTTGTCTGTTTGTCTGTCTGTTTGTTTGTATCCAATAAACGTCAAAACGACTGAACCGATCGGGCCCAAATTTTTTGTGGCACCTCGCGTTATTCCAGGGAAGGTTTATGAATGATAAAAATTTTTAAAAAAATGTGTTTTAAAGGTTTTTAATTTTGTAAAAAAATTTAAATTCTTGAAAATCCGTGAATTTTTTTTAAAAAATCTGCAAAATGTTTTTCTTCTTTGTTTTTAAATGTAAACAAAATGAACATGTTCACAATTTAAATAGAAGATGGGCGCGAAGCGCCCTAAAAGCCTAGAAAGAAGGGCGCGAAGCGCCTTGAATTTCTAGTCAATATATACTTTGCTTGTCTGTCTGTCTGTTTGTATCCAATAAACTTCTAAACGGCTGAACCGATCGAACCCACATTTGTTGTGGGAACTCGCGTGACCCCAAGGAAGGTTAATGGATGATAGAATTTTCAAAAATTCGCTTCTAACAAAATTCGATATTTAGAATGTCCGATTTTTTTTTATAAAATTCGCCAATTTTTTTGTTTTTTTTGTTTTACAATGTTCAAAATGAGAAAATGTTTACAATTGAAATAGAAGATGGGCGCAAAGCGCCCTGAAAGCCTAGTACATCTAAAATGCTAATCTAAATATCCAATTCATGCAGAAAGACATTAATTTGTAAATCTATTAGTGATGAAGGTGTTTTCCATCTTCAGGTATTAAGCAAGATGAAAGATTTTGTTTAACACAATTTTTTACAAATTGTAAACATAACACATCTTATTCACTAGGCCCATTCTCTGTTAATATGCTTATTATCTAAATTTCTTAACTGACATTCTTATCCCGAGATTGCCGATTAACTTAATCAGTTTTATGTTTTGATCATTTGGATTAATATATCATAAAACATTAATTTATCTTTAATAATTTCGTATATAGGATTTTACCAGACCGGAGTCTGCATTTTTCTACACTGAAAAGATAGAGCAAATCTCAAAGGAATTTGTTGAACATATGGCTACATCTAGAGATTCAAATCAGGAGCTACCAGCAACCTTTAATGAGATGGATATGTGGGCATTGGAATCTCTTGGTGTCGTCTTCCTAGACCAAAGGCTTAATGCTTTTGATCCTAAGGTATCTGGAGATCCAAACTCAGATGTAAATCGATTGTTGCACGGAATTCAGACATTTGTAAAACATTTTCTGGATCTGCGCGTAACCGCCTTTGCTTGGACCAAAATTCCAAAGATAAGGTACTATTTATTTTTTAAAATGATTTTTATTTCTTATTACATACTTCAATTTGTTTAGAATTGCCAAAAAAACAACAACGTTTACAACATTATTGTATCTATATATAAATTCCCGTAATCTCTGATTTTTCTAACTATGAAGTTTAAATAGTATTAGCTTGAAATACATTTACATCAATCAGGTTGCAAAGATACAAAACTAAGAAAATTCAAATTTGTTTACAACAAATAAACGTCAAAACGGCTAAGCCTGAGGCTAAAATTTTTTAAAGTAACTCAGATGACCCAGCAAAGGCAAAAACGGTCAAATTTGAAACTTTTACCAAAAACAATATCAGGCATCAATGTAAGCAGAAAAATTCGCGAAAATTTGAAAACTGCAGTTAAAAAATAGCGATGAAATTGTTTATATAAAAGGGGGCGCGAAACCTTGTTCAAATTAGAATATGAATTTGAAAAATTTCCAATAAAAAAGGTTTTTTTTTATTCCACAATTAGAGCTTTGTATTTAAAAAGTTAGGGGTTGGCTGTTAAATATTAATTTGTAAAGGATTTAACAGTTCAAATGAAAACTAATGTAAATTTGTATTTGTTTAGTTACCGGTTCAGAGAGTTCGATGATTCCCAGGTGGAAACTTATCATATAACAAAAAGGATGGTTGATAAGGCAAAAGCTAAGATAGATGTGAAATCTCTGTATGCAACTACCAGTTCAGAGCAAATGAGTGTTCTAGCCAAGGAAAAAGCAAAATTAAAACTTAAACTTTTTTATGATTTAATCATTTAATGATTTAATTAGTCTCGTCTGCGATTAAAGGAATAAGGTTAAGGTTAGCATTTACCATTTGATAATCTATGAAACTTTCAGAAAATACAATTCACTTTCATATAAAAACAGTTTCCGATGTTTTTACTGGTTTAGGTCCTGTATACACAACATTTTAGTTGATCAAATTTTCAAATTTTATAAATTGTATACATACAACAAAAATCCTTTTCCAGTAGTTTTCGCTTCAGCTATTTTGACTTATGTCGCCATCGACAGTTAATAATGCATACAATTACATTTATTTAAGCTCTGTCTTAATAATTGATGACCAAAGTTGCAAACAAACTCAACAATAATTTGCTATTCTACAGATGATGAAACGTTGTGGACCAGATTCATCTATACCTACTCAGATGGCCATGGAAGCTCTTCTAGGTATATATGTAGGATAGATTCTCAAAAATATCATCAATTGTCTATATTAATCTCAGAGAAATAAAGATCAGACAAAGGTTTTAAGGATACGCGTTGTGTTGTAAATGGGGGATCACTTGAAAATTCGGCGATAGTCCCTTCAAGATTTAAACGTTTATACACATTACACATTATAAATTTTACATGATACATAATACATCATACATTATACATTAGACATGAGACATTTTACATTATCCATTACCCATTACACTTTACATTTAGGCGGGGTAGACAATACAGCAAACACAGCTACATATTTCCTCTACAACTTGGCAATTAGACCTGAGATTCAGAAAAAACTCTACCAGGAGATTAAAGAAGTGGTGAGTTGACTGCACACTTATTAGGAGGATATCGTGGTTTTTCTGGAAATAATTAATTTTTAGTTAAAGATACAAGGATAACCCTTTCATAATTCTTTATCAGACACAGGCTAAACTAGTACTGTTGTGAGTCGGACTTTAATTGAAATTAGACATGAAGAACTGCAAATTAAACTAATGTCAGTAAATTAAATATTCTGAGACAAATGTTAACTACTTTAAATTAAGGTCGGAGACAAGCCGTTGACTCCAGCTCTGATAAACGAGTTAAGATATCTCAATGCCTGTCTAAGAGAGTCTATGAGACTACTTCCAGGTACTGGTGGGATGGAGAGAACAGCGCCCAAGAATTTGGTTCTCAGAGGATATCAGGTAATTATTAAAAAAAGTAAATTTACATAAATCTCTTATTTTTGAAATTGTTTTAGGTACCAAAGGGTACAAACATGATGTTTGCTGAGCAAGCGATGGGTTACTTGCATTTCCCAGATCCTGAGGACTTCATTCCAGAGCGTTGGATGCGTGGACACAAACTATTTAATACCGTCCCTCCTTTCAGTGCACTTCCCTTCGGACATGGAAGAAGGAAGTGTATTGGGATGCGATTGGCAGTTTTGGAAATACAAGTTCTGACTGTTAAGGTTCTCCAGAGATTCGAGATCAGTTATAACCATGCTCCGATCCAAACTTTGAGCAGAGTCATAAACATTCCCAACCTTCCTCCCAGATTTAAACTCGTAGAAAGAAAATAATCTTGTCTTATTGCATACTTTATTGTGATCAATTAAAATCTAGTCTTGCTTCATTATCGAGGCTGACATTTATGTGATTAAAGAAACTAAGGATGCTCATAAATACATGAATAACAATGAACTAATAAATACGTTGATTTATACTCAAATAGTCATATTTTCTGTTTATCTTTATCTTATTCCTCCTCTTCTTCTTCCTCCTCTTCCTCCTTCTCTTCTTCCTCCTTCTCTTCTTCTTCCTCCTCTTCTTCTTCCTCCTTTTCTTCCTCATCTTCTTCTTCTTCTTCTTCCTTTTCCTCTCCTTCCTGTTCTTCCTCCTCCTCTTCTCCATTTTGATCTTCTTCTTCTTCATCCTCCTCTTTTTCTTCTTCTTCTTCTTCTTCATTTATTTCATCTAGTTTATCTTGTTCCTCAGTGTCCACAGTTCCTGGAAGTTCGCATTCTCCAGTTGAAATACCTGCAGTACAGTTCAATTACTAAAACTGTAAATACATCAAAACTGGTTTATATTTTTGAACAACAAGAATAGATGTAATAAACTATTATGTACCTGAACCCGGTCTGGATTCTGTTGGAGAATCTTCCTCAAGTGGAACTATTGGACATGTATCTTCAGAGTTACCAGAGGTTTGAATATAAGCTTTGCTGGGATTATTCTAAAGATAAAGAGAGGTTTAACTGACTTAATTTAAAGTTACTTTATAATTATTGGGTTCAAAAGATAATTTAAGAGCTAGAAAAGTATACAAACGTGGTTTATTTAAAAAGGGATTGATCCTGCTTTCATAGTTAATCGCCTTTGTTAAACAAAAGACATGTTTCTCATTCCATTTTTTTAAAAAATTGAAGTTCAGATAGAATTTCCGATTGCTTGAAAATATCCAGAGTCAAAATTACTAAAACATTAATTAGTTCTATTAGTTCTATTAACGTTGTTATGAAGACGACTTTAAAAATCAGTCAAGTGCCATCAGTATTTCAGTCTTTAAGCTTCTAATTTTCTAATTTATTTTTGAATTTTGAGTTGAAACATTTAAATTATCATTTTTATAGATTTATTTCGTACACAAAGTTAAAATGGTACAATATTATAAGACAAAAACAAGAATAAAGTATAATATGTAAATATTGATGTATGTTCATGGCACAGTTTTTATTTAGCTGTTTCCATTAAGACTTAGGTTTTGCAAGTTTAGAATAAGAAGAATAGACACAAAGTGACTGAGTTTTTGCCACAAATTCAAATTTTTTTATTCCTATATCTAGGCAACCTGAAAGTATGAACTTACTATTTCAAATTTAAAGTATTTTAATTCATACTTTGAAATTTCAAAAATATAGGGATTAAAAAATCAGAGTGTGGAAAAACTTGAAATAGTGTTTACATTTCATGATATATCCATATTAAGGACAATTTATTTTTATTAAGTTAATAAATAATTCAAGACATACCTTCCTTGAGCAGCAAGTTGAGAGAACATAACGGAATCTCTTACTACTGAGACCCAGGAAAACAAGAATGATGAGACCCATCCATGAATTAAAGATGGAGAAAACAGGATAGAAATCTGTCATTTCTGTTCCAGGAAACTTGACGTATGCTGGGAAAGCAAAGAGCCAAACCATAACAAACAGGAAGTTTGTGATGAGGAGTCCTTGACCCTGCGCCTGTATTAAAACATTATTGATTACAGAAAAAGAAATTGTTTAGAAAACTTTATTGGAGAAATTGTGAAGAAGTTCAGAATGTCTAAGTCTACGGCGTTGAGTTGCTAAAATATTGGAATTGGAAAATCAGAGTTTGTAGCAAATACTCAATTCCTATTTTGTACTGCGTAAATGAGGAATAGGACAAATCATACCTACAGTGTGGGATACCCTAATTTAAAACTCAATGCAAACTAAGTTGTGCAAAAATCTATCAGTATTTTGCCAATTACTCCTTCTAAACTTAAAAAGAGTGTTCGCGAAAAATGAAAGGGGATATAGGCTTAATGCGATAAAAAAGCGCTTTTGATCGCTACTAATCTTACTTCTATCTGTTTCGTCTATAAGGAGAAAATTGTTAAAGACGTCTCATACCGAAGAACGTAGTGTCCATACAAATTGAGAAAATTGCAACATACGACTTAGACCGTAAAAAATCAATTTAATTCCAAACAAATCATTCAGATATTACAACCTATGGTCATCGATTATCTTTCGCCACATGTATATATAGTTTAAATTTATAATATTTTTTACTAATTTGTTTCGAATTTGATTATTCCTCTTTTCGCTTGCGCAACTATCTAAGAATGCCGCGCACCACTCACATTTTTCGAAATCCGTTAAAAATGTTTTCTAAAAAAATAAAATATAAACAAATTAATTAAAAATATTATAAAATATAAACTATATACAAATGTGGCGAAAGATAATTGATGACTATAGGTTGTAATATCTGAATGATTTGTTTGAAATTAAATTGATTTTTTACGGTCTAAGTCGTATGTTGCAATTTTCTCTATTTGTATGGGCGCTACGTTCTTCGGTATGAGACGTCTTTAACAATTTTCTCCTTATAGACGAAACAGATAGAAGTAAGATTAATAGCGATCAAAAGCGCTTTTTTATCGCATTAAGCCTATACCCCCTTTCTTTTTTTGCGAATACTCCCTTTAAGCTAGAAAGAAGCGCGGTGAATATTCAAACAAAATGTACATGTCTAGGGCTACACCTACAATCAAGTATAAGTGAGTTTACTGGAGCACACTGTTCTAGTAAGACAATTCTACATGTTTGTTTCAAGGATAACAATTAAACAAATTTTAAGATTTGGAAACTTTTCCAATTTTTCTGATGGATTTAGGAAGGATGAGATGCCTGCTCTAGATATCACTTTAAATTGTCCAAAAAACATCAGACACAGCTATAGGTCATTGTAAAAAGATTAAATTTGCGAAATAAGTTATTTCGTAAATTTCAAAATTATTTGTTTTGTAACATCAAATACTGTAAAGTCGTCTTCCTATTCCACAGTTTTCTGGTTCTCAGTGTTGGTAGTTTAATCTATTGTTAATATTATGCAGGGAATGGTTTGAAGAAAAACAATATTGTGTATACAGTTTGTCTCAAAACATGGTCGTTTATTGACCATAAAGAAAAGAAATGTCGTCTTTCTGAGATTTTACTATAATTGTATGATACCAACCTTTAAAAATATTCTAAAGATTTTTCCTCAAACAAACAAAACCGAATATGGGACAGTAACAACAAATAAGATGAATGATTGTCGTGTTTGTTCCTTATGTTCTTTCTGACCGAAAAGGATTTTGTGATTTGTGAATGCATTATATGTTTAAAGAAACTTATTTCTTTCACAACTGGCAGCAAACCCAAATTTTCTAATTCTTTATCTTTGGAATTAACTAAATGTCCTAGATTTTTGATATTTCCAAATTTGATCAATCAAAAAAAAACTGCTTTTGAAATATCAAAGATTTACACCATCAATGTGTAAAGATATAGGGATCAGAATATTTGGGTTTGAGGCAAAAGTTTAAATCCGTTGTCTTGATAGAGATTAGTTGGTTGCCTAAAATCCTTTACTGCTTTTCTAATTAAAGAAAAACAAATGTGACGATTGCATCATTCGGGTTCTACTCTCATGGTTATCCAGGACCATTTATCTATAAAATACTTGCCTGCAAATCCTCAACCACATCTTCCTTTCTGGTTTGTGGAGAACTTGCATTCAATATCACCACTGCACTCAATAGCAGAGCAGTCTGAAACACGATCATCATTAATATTTCGTCATGTTTAATAAATAATTACAATTTTAGTACTAACCCCAAGTGCAGCATAATTCATGATCAGGAAAGGCATCTTTGTCTCGTTCTCCCAGCCAATGAAAACATTAGGATCTGTTCCAATATCATGACCATACATATACCAGGTGAAACCCAGGCATAGGAATCCAGCTCCCCAACCAATAGGAAGATACGCTGCAGTTTTCCCTCCGACAATTCCAGCTGTGATTGCTCTGAATTCTGCAAAAGCTTCCATTAGCTGGAAATAGCTTCCAGTAATGTAGAAGAAAAGGATTAAAGATGAGAATGCAGCGTTGATATGACGATCCTCTCGAATCAGGTCCAGCTCGGATAAGAAATGGAAGAAGAGAGCAAACAGATAACATATTCCAGTGTTTAATCTCAGTAAATGGAACATTTCCCAGAGATGTTTGTTTGCACAAATGATGATCACAAATATTAACAGACTGAGAATCGAAACTCCAAACCCGATGTATCTTGACACCAGCAGCCATGTATAGTCATGCTTTCCCTCTGGTTTCACAATTTTCTCAGCAGCTAATGCAAATGTCCCAAACTTGGAGCACTCACATGTTGTTGAGTCTTGTTGGGACATAACAGTTGTGCAGCCATCAGCATCCCATGCGCCAAATACGCCAATGTCAGGATTCCACATCACGCAGCGTCTTGTATCTATGGAGGTTTTGATTTCATCCTCATGGAAAAGAACTTTTCTTCTTGCAGTCTCTCTTGATGTATGGTAGAATTTGATCATTATAGGAGTATATTTCAGGTCTACTGGTATCTCCTGGCATAATTGTGAGTCTGCTATTGTTGGATTAAAGGTATCATTGTTAGTGATTATCTTGACCGAAATGACTTTACTGTCAATGATGAATCTCTCTGCAGTAATTGATACTGGACTTCTTCTTAGCGGTGCAAACATGCCGTAGCAAGGATAGACAGAGTACAAGAATGTAATTGGATTATTTAAACAATTGGGTTCACTGGCATACATATCTGTTGGCATTGAAATAATCTCCTTGGGATTTTCCCAGTTTTGAACTGCAGCTGTCCATTTCCCTGGGGGAGAGGTATACGCGCCAACATTATACATTGATCCTTTCATTCGTAATCGACTCATTGGCATTTTTTGAATACTCATGTAGAGCTCATTGGTTGGAATATGAACAACATATTCTCTTGTGGTTGAATTATAGTATTCTGTATCATCATAGAACGATATATTGGCAGATGACATAAATGCCAATGCATAGTTTTCCAGTTGCTGAACATAATCTGAAGATCCAGGTAAATCATCATCTTCTTGGACTATTTTCCATCTTTCAATATTCTCAGGCTCACAAGACATCATTTTTGCAGCAGTTTTGATATTCCAGAAGCGTTTGTCAAGATGTTTTGGCAATGCTCCATCAGAAACTCCATCTGTTTTCAGAAGTTCTTGATACGTTGCAACCAAGGCCAGCTGCTTTCTCTTCTTCCTTTCCTTCCAAGGTAGGGTTTGAACACCTATGACGCTTATTGCTGCTGCCTGACCACTACCTCCAGGCGCAGGTGCTTGTGTTGCAGGTGTACCTGCTCCTGCTCCTGCTGCAGCTAATACTGCAGTGGCAGGACTTTCTGGAGTATTGTCAAGAAGTTTTCCCGTCAGAGAACCTGCTGCAGCAGCTTGATCTGGATCAGTCATATCCACAGCTTTTAACATTTCTGCAAACTTTTCCGGTGTCATTGTCTCTAGATCTTCAACATAACCTCCCATGAAATATAATGTTTCATCAATGGACTTTGTTTTCTCTAACTTTCTTGTCCAAATTGCCATTTCATCGAAAATTGCATCTTGGTGAAATGCAAATCCTTCGGGCTGGGATGAATCTAATTTGTTATACTGACATCCAAATATCATGACTGGTGGACCCTCAATACCCCCAGGTATTGGGTTCCCGGCAGGATCCATGGCTGGTAAACTTAACTCTGGTAGTTCCGTCCAGCCAGCAGCTGGTCTAGCCAGGGGTAATATAGACTGTCCAACCTGTTCAAGGTTAAAGTATAGTATCAATCCTCCTCTTTCTATTGGATCAACAACCTTGGTTGTATCTAGATCTGGAGCAGTCCATATTATTCCATAGTTTGTCCAGGTTTCATTAACCACAGGGCCTCGAACCTTCAGCTCCCAAACATCATCTCCAGTGCTCACAACAGCCACCACATCCATCCCAATGTGATAAAGAGCAAATCCAGGTATTGTTTCTCCTGTCGTAGCATCATAATCAGCTCCTGTGCCAACGATGTACTTCTTGGTGAAGGCGCTGTCATCAGGTGGTTTGTCAATGATGTCTCGGTCATATACAGTCTTCTCCCAGATAGAGAAGGAGATTCCTTGCAGACAGTTCTTAGGATTTCTGATGCAGAGATCGCTGTTCTTAGCAAAGGTTCCATCGACAACACACTAATATAAATTTGATATATTAATATATAACTAATGTGAAGAATCACACCCATATTCATTCTTCTCAAGGGTGAAGAGACTTTAATTGTTACTCATGAGACTTTGCCTATAAAGAAGCTCATCCCGCATTTACTACGGTACCCTTTTAACCTTCATATGATCATGTAAAATCTGTCTGTTGTAAGATTTAAATAAAATAAAGAATACAATTCTTACTTTGTCCTGGTTAAGTTTAAGAGAAGGACCAAACCCAAAAGGTCCTTTAGATGGTTCTTCATCAAACGTGTTTAAACCTCCAGAACTTAAATAGGAAAATATGTATGATAATTTCTGAATGCTTAGATTAAAAAAAAGATAATTATGTAAAAGGAATTTCCAATTTATTATTAATATTGTTTTTCTTAATACTATTATTAAATATTATTATTATTATTATCATAATTATTATCATTATTATCATTATTATTATTATCATTATTATTATTAATATTATTATTATTATTATTATTATTATTATTATTATTATTATTACTATTATTATTATTATTATAGAGTGTAAAGATTGTTAGGAAATCTAAGGTTGGAGTGTAAAGATTGTTAGGAAATCTAAGGTTAGAGTGTAAAGATTGTTAGGAAATCTAAGGTTAGAGTGTAGAAATTGTTATGAAATCTAAGGTTGAAGTGTTAAGAAGGTTAGGAAATCTAAGGCTTAAGTGTAAAGATCGTTAGGAAATCTAAGGGTAGAGTGTTAAAATTGTTAGGAAATCTAAGGTTGGAGTGTTAAGAAGGTTAGGAAATCTAAAGCTAAAGTGTAAAGATTGTTAGGAAATCTAAGGTTGGAGTGTTAAGAAGGTTAGGAAATCTAAGGCTAAAGTGTAAAGATGGTTAGGAAATATAAGGGTAAAATGTTAAAATTGTTAGGAAATCTAAAGTTGGAATGTAAAGATTGTTAGAAAGTCTAAGGCTAGAGTGTAAAGATTGTTTGGCGTTTTGGAACTAGTTACCCCTGAAATTCTAGAATATATTTTGTAGACATCTCCTAATTACAAACTGTGTCTATTTACCATATGGAGGTAGGGTAGGCAGTACAACGACGTCATCGGGGGGCGGGATCGTTCCTGATAATTAACTAAAAACAAGGATAATAAACAAACAATTAACGAAAAACAATGATAATAAACAAACAATTAACTAAAAACAAGGATTATAAACAAACCATTAACGAAAAAAATTATTTAGCAAATAATAAACTATAGCTCTACCATATCGTCAAGGTGTAAAGATTATAACTGAATTTTTAAAAATAATTAAACATCTTGGAGCCTATTAAGAACTCCGACAGAGAATAGGTTTAACTATTCCCTTCGGTTCAAATCTAAATATTTATTATATTCGTATTCAAATCTGATTTAGATAAGAATACAGAGCCCGCGATTTGAAAGCTTTGGCTCGAGTCGCAATTCCTTAAACCCAGCTTTATGGCCCAATCTTAGACTTAACTCTGACGACAGCTTGTGTCACGTGATTGACAGCTACAAGATCTTAGGATCGACTTAAGGAGTTAGGACCAACGAAAATATCCGACCCTGGTTGGTTTTAGTGGAGAATAAGACTCGATGATAAGTCTTGTTCTCATAAAAACCCGGAATCCGCCAATTCCCTCCATGAAAATCCGCCAAATAGAAAATTATAACGGTTTTTGAACTCAATTCTATGGAAAATAAGATGCAGTTAGAATCCAAAAGCTCAAGCAGTAAATAAGACCCAACGACAGTTTAGACTTGAGTCGTATTTTCTTGAATTTTTGAAATCGCCGGCTCTGGTAGGCTATATATTTTATCATATTTCTATTAATAGAATACAATAAATCTACAAAATATCTTTATAGTTTTCTAAATTAAACAAAATTGGTTCAAAATCAAGAAATAAAAAAAGGACTGTAATACTCCCGATATGTTCCACCATTGTCTTGTCTTCTAAAATATTTAAAATTGAATAATTGAATAATTATTTAATATGTAAAATTCCGACCAATAAAGGTTAAAAAAGTTATAAAGAATCTAGAAAAAATTATATAATTAACCATGAACTTAAAAAAAATTCAGCGTTTTAATCATTCCAATTTTTATCCGATTTTGAAAAAATGACGTGTCCATAAACACATATTTACATGTCTATATAGAACTAAACACATTAAACTTGACAGAAGGAGAAAGGTCGCAGCTCCTTTAGTTTTGATTTCATATGGAAGTATCGGGGCAAACCAAACCTTTATTCGAGAAAAATGAAAGAAGTAATGATTGATTTCAATCTTACGTTTATTGTACTTTAGTTTGACGTGAAAGAAACTAAAATAAAATCTATGCTTTTAAACTTTGTTGTTTACTGGTCAACATTCCACTAAGCCCAGTGTTAAGGGTTGTATCTATGTATGTTTCTATGTATCTATGTATACCGTGTATCTAGGTATACCTCAGTATCTATGGTTAAAAATAAACAAACAAATCAAATATTTTTACAAATTTTGCCCTTTTCTTGAAAACGTCCAATTTGATCAAGAAATATCAAAAATGAAATATTAAAAAAAATTGTTTAAAATGGTTGTAAATTGTATAAGATTGGAAAGCTGTATACAACAAAATAGGTAAAGCATGCTTAAAGCTTTGTGTATACGGTATTAATATTTAATTAAGATCCCTAGATACCAGCCACTGTACACACAAACACATCCACACTATCACAATATTTCGACACTTCATACAGTCATATGTAATTCATAATTTTATATTAAACATCTTTATTAAAGGGTTGCTTAGTTTACCCTGAAGAAAAATATGGAAATTAGTTTACCTGAAATACGGAAATTATTTTACCTGAAATGCGGAAATTAGTTTACCTGAAATACGGAAATTAGTTTACCTTAAATACGGAAATTAGTTCACCTGAAATACGGAAATTATATCCTTCACTATGAAAAAAGTACCTTGGGAACCCAGCTTTATACTTTTCTGGTATTGGATATGAATGGTCTGGTGCAGGTGCATATCTATGGTCTGGTATTGGATATGAATGGTCTGGTACAAGTGTATATCTAAGGTATACCTGTTGCTGGTATTTAATATGAATGATCTGGTACAGATGTATATCTAAGGTCTGGTATTGGATATGAATGGTCTGGTACAGGTGTATATCTAAGGTCTAGGTATTGCTGATATTATGTATGAAAGGTCTGGTGCAGGTGTATATCTATGGTCTGGTATTGCTGGTATTGGATATGAATGGTCTGGTACAGGTGTATATCTAAGATCTAGGTATTGCTGGTATTATGTATGAAAGGTCTGGTGCAGGTGTATATCTATGGTCTGGTATTGCTTGTATTGGATATGAATGATCTGGTACAGATGTATATCTAAGATGTATCTATTGCTGGTATTATATATGAATGGTTAGAATGGTATTGCTGGTACGAGTGGTTTTGGATATGAATGGTCTGGTGCAGGTGCATATCTAAGGTCTGGTATTGGATATGAATGATCTGGTACAGGTGTATATCTATGGTCTGAAATTGGATATGAATGGTCTGGTACAGGTGTATATCTAAGATCTAGGTATTGCTGGTATTAAATATGAATTGTCTAGTAAATGTGTATATCTATGGTTTGGTATTGCTGGTATGAGTGGTTTTGGATATGAATGATCTGGTACAGGTGTATATCTAAGGTCTGGCATTGGATATGAATGGTCTGGTACAGGTGTATATCTAAGGTCTAGTATTTCTGGTATTATGTATAAATGGTCTGGTACATGTGAATATCTATGGTCTGGTATTGCTGGTATTATATATGAATGTTCTGGTGCAGGTGTATATCTATGGTCTGGTATTGCTGGTATTGGATATGAATGGTCTGGTGCAGGTGTATATCTATGGTCTGGTATTGCTGGTATTGGATATGAATGGTCTGGTGCAGGTGTATATCTATGGTCTGGTATTGCTGGTATTGGATATGAATGTTCTGGTACAGGTGTATATCTATGGTCTGGTATTGCTGGTATTGGATATGAATGGTCTGGTGCAGGTATATATCTATGGTCTGGTATTGCTGGTATTGGATATGAATGGTCTGGTGCAGGTGTATATTGTGTTTATATTAAAACAGATTCTGCAGGACAAGAGAAGAATATTAACTTAAATATTCAACTCAAGGAATTCTACAGAAACCAAGATGGAAACTATTGAATATTGAGAAAATATGATAAATGGAAACAGAAAAGATACAAACCACATTTTTTAGTATACTTAAATCTTGTTTTGTGCATTCTTTTATGTAAATCCTGTATCTTGTATCCTGTACGTATCCTGTATCCTGTATCCTGTATCCTGTATCCTGTATCCTGTATCCTGTATCCTGTATCCTGTATCCTATATCCTGTATCCTGTATCCTGTATCCTGTATACTGTATCCTGTATCCTGTATACTGTATACTGTATCCTGTATCCTGTATCCTGTATCCTGTATCCTGTATATCCTCTATCCTGTATACTTATCCTGTATCCTGTTTACTGTATACTGTATCCTGTATCCTGTATCCTGTATCCTGTACTTGTATCCTGTATCCTGTATCCTGTATCCTGTATCCTGTATCCTGTATCCTGTATCCTGTATACTGTATCCTGTACTTGTATCCTATATCCTGTATCCTGTATCTTGTATTCTATATCCTGTATCCTGTATCTTGTATCCTGTATCCTGTATCTTGTATCCTGTATCCTGTATCTTGTATCCTGTATCCTGTATCTAGTATCCCATGAGGCTGATTTGACTCCGGTATAAGAATATATGAGAACACTCTAATAGAACCACCGGAGTCGGACGGTTTAACTGTGTTCTGTGAATATATATTATATTATATATATATACCGTCCGAACCGGACCCATTAGCAATAAGCATGCAGTGTTACCCATAAAGGATGAGAATGTAATGGCAACATAAAACTTTAAATATATTGCCCTGGAGGTTTTAATAAAGGTTACTGCCATGGATAATGACGTATTAAACGGCTGGGAAAACAAGAAACACGAATAAAGATGCAGTAAACCAAGGACCAGAGAAAAAGAATGTATAAATTTCGTACATTTGAGTTGTCTCTGAAGTCTCATCCTTTGTGGGTAACTCTGAAGATGATTATCACAGGTTGTTGTAGGACCATAGACAAGAGTTGATCAGTTCAATATTATTTTATACCAACCGATTTTTCTTGACAGAATGCGTAATTTATAGGATTTAACCCATTTCAAACTGGTTTTCTATAATTTTCTTTGAGAGAATCAATTACTTCGTATATAGGTATTTTGACATAAAAACACTTAAAACTTAAAGGTAGTGTTCTCGAAAAATGAAAGCTGATATAGACTTATATCGAAAAATATTCGATGGTAATTGCTACTAATCTGTTGCGTCTATAAGGAGAAAGTTTTCAAAAACAACTAATACCAAACTAATAATACCATACAAATTCACAAAGTTGCAACATTCAACTCAGCTCAGAAGAGAAAAAATAAAAATGTTTAGAATAAAAGGATGAGAGATGTGTGAAAATAAATACTGTTATAATATATTTATCTTTACACTTGATTAGAAACTCATTTCACAGCTAAATGAATATACAATAATACATATTTTCCAATCTATTACAATCTTTCTATATTTATTTTGGGTTTGGCATGAACATTTATCTTTTGTCAATAAACATATGTGAACTTCAATGTAAATTACGAATTCAAGTAAAATAAAAATAATTCAAAAATGTTTAAATTATTTTATTTTGCAGAAAAATAAGTATAAGATAAACATGTAAGTCCACAAATATATGTAAAAAGTCGTATCATGAAACTTTCTAATCTTTAATTCAAGTCTGATATGAAGAAAAAGAGATGGTCAAATTTATGCAACATGACTGGTACGAAATTTTGACCTCGTATAGCTCATCCAATTTTAATCTACGAGTACGAGTATGAGAACATCAAATTTATTCGTTTATATAGATATAAGAAGTGTACATAGATGTCAGAAGTTTACATAAATATAAGAAGTTTACATAGATATGAGAAGTTTACATAGATATAAGAAGTTTATTTAGATGTCAGAAGTTTACGCAAATATAAGAAGTTTACATAGATATGAGAAGTTTACATAGATATAAGAAGTTTACATAGATATATGAAGTTTACATAAATATACGATTTACATAGATGATCGAAAACATGTAATAATAATAATCTACTTACTTTAGTTTGCCGTTAGAATTGATATTTAGAATACAATGATTAATACAATAATACAATCTACTTACTTTAATTTTCCGTTATATAGATATTTAGAATACAATGATTAATACAATAATACAATCTACTTACTTTAATTTGCCGTTAGAATTGATATTTAGAATACAATGATTGATACAATAATACAATCTACTTACTTTAATTTGCCGTTAGAATTGATATTTAGAATACAATGATTAATACAATAATACAATCTACTTACTTTAATTTGCCGTTATAGTTGATATTTAGAATACAATGATTAATACAATAATACAATTGATATTTAGAATACAATGATTAATACAATAATACAATCTACTTACTTTAATTTGCCGTTATAGTTGATATTTAGAATACAATGATTGCTGTAAGATTTATCTTAATCTCTTTGGCATTATTTTTAAGCAGACCGTCATTGCAGGTACAGAAAATACACCTCAGGCCGACTTTGAAGAATTTGAGCCGCATCTCAAATTCGAGACGCGGCTCAAATATGGTTGGCTCTATTTAAAATTGTATTATCTGTTTTGAGAATTTTGGCCCTTGTTCAATTGGAACCGGTTTTTTCGCGGTTCGGTTTAAATTCTTTAACTTCGGCCTCTGGTTTATTTTTGAAAAAGGTATTGAGTCAAATGTTTGCTTTTTTATCATGACGATTGTATAGATTAACCTTAAATGGTAAAATTTTGATATTTCAAATATTGATTTTTGGATTTGCATAGAATTAAAGGTCCACGACATTATATTGCAAGAATATGATAATCATAAATTTGAGTTTGAGTCAAGTGTTTAGAGTTCATTTACGAAAATACTCAGATATAAGTTTGAATGAAAACTTGATAGTTGGCCACGAACATCATTTTCTTACAAAGTTAAAGAAAATGAAAAGTTAAAACGACATTGGAACCTTTTAAAGTCATTAAGCAAGACTCTGTTAAATGGTCTGTAAACGTAACTTCAAGTGATTTTCTATTGAAAAAGCGGCAATATCCATCTTTAACAGCTTTGTCTGATCAAGTATGAATTAGATATCCATGTATTTGTGACTTACACATTTCTTCCTTTATAAACAAAAAAGAAATTATCAGAATTAAAGGCTTTTTTCAAGGCGGAGAAACGGCGCTATCTTCCACATTTTTGATAAAATCATGGTTTTAAGACGGTACAGTTGTAAATCTTTGAATGAAAGACAACTTAAAATTACGTGGACACCTTTAAATCTCACACGTACGGTTTGCCGCACGCTATATCAAACAGAATATCACTTCTAAAGGCAAAAACGGAATTTATAATATTGGTGTTTTTACATTTGAGAATGTTTATGCCATATTTTCCCCAATATGGGTTTGGTTGATATTAGAAGAGAAATGGAATTGAAAGTTTGGCCTAAACTGCCACTATATACAGAGGATAAGAGAATAAGTTTTGTATAAATTAAACTAGAAACTTAATTTCAATACCAATATCAAACAGACTTTAACTCTTACACCAACAAACTAATCCAAATAGTATTGAAATAGATATTTGAAAAAGAGAAGGGGGGGAGTAATGTGTTATTTTTTGCGCGAACCAATTTTTCTTCGCATACCTTCTTTAAAGACATTGAGTCTTTGCTACAAACTCTTATCCCTATATCTTTACAACTTAATGTCGTAGACCATCGGGCTTAGATGTTTCAAACTATTATTTCTGTCAGAGCAAATAATCTCAGTTTGAAATATCAAACTTTTACACCATCAGATTGCAAAGATAGAAAATTTGACTTTGAGGCAAAGGTTCATTTTCTTTAGTTTAAAATAAGAAGTATTTTCAGGATTTCTTGAAACACGGAAATCAAGTTCATAATAAACATTATCATGATGAACAGGATGAACAGGATGAACAGGATGAACAGGATGAACAGGACACACCTCTTGGACGTATCCACTATGTCTCTCGAATATGTAAACAGCTAGACCAGGAGAATCTACCCATAGATAAAGTATTAATTTTATAATTTTAATTCCTAAAGGCACTGTACGCGCAATTTTAAGTGATCCTTCATGCAAAGATGGCAATGCCCGATTTACAACGGAATCCTTGAAACCTTTTTCTGACTTGAAAAGTGTTTATTTCTTTTAAAATTCGGTGATGGTGATGGACCAAACCTCTGTAGAGTAAAAAAGTAGATGTGTGTTCCACATTTATTGAAAATATATTTCGGTCTGGGTTGACCCTCGTCAGTTCTAACGATATTATAACCATCAATATCGATTAAAAAATAAAAATGTAAAAAATCACAAGAAAGATTATTCAAAATAAAAATTTGGGCTGTCAAATGGACATAAGGGAAACGAACTCAGATTATTAAAAAATGTTTTAAGACAATTATTATTCCTTGAGATTGTTTCTTCACAAAGATTAAAAACAAACTGTGTAGATGTTTGTGAATAGAGTGGGGGTGTGGGTCGATCTAATTAACGAACTTTTGCGTAAGTTGGGGGGAGGGGGAGGGGGAACGGCTTGTTTAAGGAGGGGTATTTAAACCTTTTAAAGAATTGGACATAAAAAACTCGTTTTTTTTAAAACATACTGAATTACAGTTAACAATAAATAAAGACTATTTTTTTCTGTTCATTCCTCTGAGTTCAGTCATAAAATCTGTGATGTATTTAGATTCTCGTACTTCAAGTAAACTTCTTCCGTGATTTCTGTGATTTTCTTCATAGCTCTTCTAATAAAAAAGAAACCGCAAATAAAAAAAAAGAGTTCAAAGAAAATAAAAATATTGCTTTCTATTTATACTTGATCAAACAAAGCTTTCAAGGGTAACGTTATAAATCGGGCATTATTTGAATTACGCTTACAGTACCTTTAATCCAAAAACTCACATAATTTGTTAACACAAAGATCTGAAATGCAGTATTTTTTTTTTGTAAATACATCCTCTCTTTGTATTTTATGAGACATCTTCCACAGCCCTGTATAAATAAGAACTTGAAATTACATAATATAGGGTCTGAGATTAAACTTCCTAGAAAACCAGAAGAATAAGATCAGCTTCTGTATCAATCAGAAGTCAGGTTCATCGTCAATCAGGAATACAGATACATTAATATTTATTTAAACTACAATATTTATATAACTCAATATATAAACTACAATATTTAAATACATTACTATATAAACTAAAATATTTAAATACATTAATATATAAACTATAATATATAAATATATCAATAGAGAAAATACAACATTTAAATACATCAAAATATAAACTTCAAAATTTAAATATATCAATCTATAAACTACAATATTTGTATTTGTATATAGTAATGTATTTTGTATATAGTGATGTATTTGTATGTTACAATGTATTTTGCAGGAAATTAAGTATTTTGTATGTAATAATGTATTTTGTATATAACAATGTATTTGTATAATAATGTATTTTGTATGTAATAATGTATTTTGTATATAGTAATGTATTTTATATATAATAATGTATTCTTATTCTGTATGCTTATTCTGTATGTGTATTCTATGTATTCTGTGTCAAGTGATGTATTTGTAAAACTGGAAAATATTTCGGAAATCATACCTCCAGAGGAATACTATAGGTACATTAACTAACCTCTTTCAGATAAGTCTAAGACTTGTAAAAAGCTTTATTTGAACAGTTGTAAAAATCATCCTAAAGCTAAACCAGAGATGGAATTTAAAGAATTTGAGCCGCGGTTTAAATCTGCCAAAACCCGGTTTGAATTAAGCGCCGGCTTAAATCTTGAAACATTTGATACAATTTGAAGTGGAAGCAACCATATTTAAGCCGCGGCTTAAATTTAAACCACCGCTCAAATTCTTTAAATTCGGCCACAGGTCGACTTTTAAGCGTTGACATGGAGTAATTGAAAAAGTCCTGACAAATGTATTTTGCGAGAAGAAAGTGAAATTAAAGAATATTTCTAGAAAAACGAAAAAGAGGGGAATATCCGATTAACAACGGTACCTATTAAACCTATTAAACCCATTAAACCTATTAAACCTATTATACCTATTAAACCTATTATACCTATTAAACCTATTACGCCTTTGAATGATCATCCGTGTTTGTATCTCTAATTAAGATTTCGTTCTGTAAAACTAAAATGTATGCTAGCGTACAATGTGAATTCAACACAGCTGGATTTGCATACATTCCTCGAATGTGCAATGCGGTTTTTAAAAATTTTGAATGAAATTATATATAACTTCTGCCATTCATTAAAAGTTTATAATATTTCTGTAGATAAATAAAGGATTTCTGTAGATAAATAAAAGGATTTCTGTAGATAAATAAAAGGATTTCTGTAGATAAATAAAAGGATTTCTGTAGATAAATAAAAGGATTTCTGTAGATAAATAAAAGG